ACAGAAATGTGGGCAAGTTGAATAATGGTCTGTCAGAACCAGAAGGAATTGCAGATACTCTTTTATCCAATTATCTCCTTTTTTAAACCCATGAAGTTGTCAAAATACAGCAAGTCTACACGATTTTTCCTTAATTACCACCATAAAATTATTCTTTAGACATTTTAAGGTAGAAGAATAAGAAACTTTAAAAAACCAAAACAAATAATCAGCTGAATATGTCAACTGATAGTGAACAAACTCTTTTTTAAAAAGACAAATTCAAACAAAAGCATTTTCTAAAAACTCCAGGTCATAGTAAATTATACGTTGCTGTCCATGCTACCATCACATCAGAATAACCATCAGTCACGTTTGATAACATAATGACAGACTAGCTAATTCACCTTTTCATTTTCAATCTGGCACCATGTAAAACGAATTATAGATAAAAGACTAGAGAAGTGTGTAATTTTCTCAAACATGTATTGATTACGTAAAAGTCAGTGCATTTAAATCAGACAGGGTTTGCAGACAACAAAGAACATTTGCAGTCATTGGCCTTAGGGAAAAAATGATCAATGATTGAAGACACCTTCATTTCTTACATCAATACACAGGTGATTTGAACATCTTTATATTTTGGAAAAATATTACATTTATAATGTGGAATAATGTGGACACTGAGATTAGGCGACATGGCAGATCCCCTTTACCCGGTTTTCAGGGAAGTTCCTGGGGTCTAGAAGGACCAGAGCAGAGGCTGTTTTGGTGACGAAGGCAGAGACCAAGTTGTCCACAAACGCGATGGGAGAAGTAGACGGTCTCATACTCCATCACAAGGACTGTTAGAAAGTGTCAGTGGGTGAGGGAGGAGGAGACACAGCTGTAGGGTGGGGAGTGCCCTGGAGGGAGTGTAGGGGATGCAGACGCTGTGATGTTCCCCATGCGCTGTAGATGGCGGGAAGGTCACCACAGATGTCAGAGCGTCAAGGAACATCCAGCTTCAGTGAAGACAAGTGAGTAGGAAAAACAGCCACCTAGCATCTCCTATGTTCTAGGTGTGGTTCTAGAAACTGAGAATACGTGGAGAGAGGACTGAGTGTTCTTCCGTGATGACCTTCATCATCCAATGAAGACAGAAACAGGAAATGGATCAGTAGAAAACCGAGGAAGGACACAGTGAAATGGGAACATGCAGGAAGGATCACCGGCTTGTCAAGGAAAGTTGGGGTGGCTTTGTAAGAGATGTGTCAGTATCACTCGTGTGAAAGTTGAAAGATGAAAACAATTTCGTCAGTTTTTGGTGAAACGTAGGGGATGGAGGGTGGGGAGAGTCCAATTACCCAGGCAGACGGTGAAGCCGTGGTGGTGTGTGCGCAGGGAGCTGCGAGGCATTCAGCATGGTTGAAACATGAAACTCAAGAGGAGGATTAGCAGAGATGGAACTGGACAAGTGGGCTTGCATAAGACCGAGGAGGACAGAGATTTTAGGTTGATGCTGTAAGGCCAGGGACATCATTACACATTTTCCGTGGTGAACAGACACGATCTGACAAGTGAACGAGAAAGATCATTTGGGCAGCAGAGGGGTGGCTAGATTAAAAATGGAGAACTCTGGAGAGCATGAGGTTATCGGATTGTGTGTTGCAGAGGCTCCTGTGGAAAGCTTGGAGTGAAGTGGTTGTGATAATAACTTAGTGGGGAAGGTGACTGTAAAAGAAGGGTCAAGGGACAAATGAATTATTGGGGCAGGAGCTGTGGATGGCTATGGAATCTGTGCACAAGATTGTTTAAAACATATTTTTGATGACATTGTTTCAGATACCACTTGGCTGGGGTAGAAGTGGTCTTCTAGTGATGTTGGTATGTCCTAGATTGTATAATGTAATTTCTTCTTATCTTGCAGCAGAGGATGTTTGGAAAGAGAGTAACTTAACACTTTATTCAGGGTTACTTGCTTGTCCCCTTTCTAGCAGTTGTGCTTGTTGTCAAACAAAAAAGGCATAATTTGCTCACGATTTCTTTACTCAGCCACACATAAGGCTGGACTCTGCTCATGAGTGAGTAGTGAATGGCATGTGTTTCTGGGAAAATAGATTTACTAAGAAAGAGTTCTTTACAGGGTTGCAAGTCGAAATTTATTTTCATTAACTAGCTTCCTTTCTGAATTTATACAAATTTGTTTGTCAAATTAATACCTATTGAGGTTTTTTTTTGTCAATATAATATGTGGTAATTATATTGTGATGAATTTCTTATGATTATGTTCTCTGAACCTTTTAACCTCAGGGAGAATTTATTAATGGTTTTCCTATGTGCTACTATGATTATAGTAAGATGTTTCTTTAATCATTTTTTTATACTCAGAGTAAACTTCAAAGGTATAAAAGGGGCATAAAGGAAAATAACATGAAGGGGAATTATTAATGGACACCATTTAAATTCCAGGGACAGTTACAGCATCAGGTGAGGCTTGATTCGCTGGCTCCTACCCTAAAACCTGGGATTTCCTCCCTGCAGAGTTGTAGGGGACCCCTTGTTGTCATAAAATGGCTGTAGCAATTTTTTCTTTAAATATCTAGATTTTTACTCTGATATTTCAGATTTATATTGAGTTTTTTTAAATTCTAGGAGTAGTAATTTTATTTATTTGTTTGTTTATTTTTTTGACTTACAGTCAACTACAGTGTGTCAGTCTCTGGTGTACAGCACAAGGTCCCAGCCATGCATATACATACATATTCGTTTTCATATTTTTTTCATTAAAGGTTATTACAAGATACTGAGCATAGTTTGCTGTGCTGTACAGAAGGAACTTTTTGTAAATCTATTTTCATATTCAGTGGCTGTGGCAGTTGTGATAGTCACATCTTCTCTCAACTTAACCCAGAGGAAGAAAGGGACTCCTCAGCTTGGCTGTGTCTTGGGAGCTTGGCAAACATCTCAGCTTTCAAAAACAGGTTGGGTTGACTTTCTCCTCCTTGGGCCTGCTAGCGAGGACCCAGGTGGGATGGAAGGATGGAGAGTGTCAGGTGGCCTAATCCACTCACACCCACCCAAATCCAAACAGCACTGAGAAGGGAGGGTTTGCGCAGTGTCCTAAAGAGGTCCCTCCCTTCCTCTGAAAGAAGAAACCGTGGGTGCCAGGTCATCACGGAAACCATGTTTCTGATCAGGAACTGAATCCCTACCAGAGAAGTGCGCACACGTCTATAGGAACGGCCACAGGTGCTTTTACAGTTTCTTTGGCTATGAGTTCATTTGAGCTAAAATATTCCAGGGCTTTATTGTTTAGACAAAACAAGTTCAGTGATTTATTACGATGTATTCCGTTGTCCTCTGCCAGGAAACAGAGGTGCATTCTGAAGTATGAAGTAAAGAAATTTCTTCTTGATCCATAGTTCAAAGCCTTAGTACTTCATGTGATATGAGAGAGAGAGAGAGAGAGAGAGAGAAAGATCCTGACTAATGGAGTCTTTAGAATTTAGCTGGTGTTAAATTTTAATAGATGTCAATTGACTACTCAATTAAAAAGCAACCCAAGAAACATGGTGAAAAAAAGATACAGACTTTTCTTTGCATCATAGGAAGGATGAATTTTTATAGCTTAAAAAACGGATGGCCTTTTCTGCGTGCAGTAAAATAGTTTGAGGTCAGGTAAGTATTTGGGATTGTGAGTTTAATTTAAGAACCGATAAAAGGTGCCTTGTCTGACAGGTTGTGGTAAGCTTGCTTCAGCCTCTTGTTGACCCACTTGTAGAATAACCAATTTTCCACCTTTGGTTTTGTGTCATTATTCCCAGGAAACATTCTATCTGTGGTTGCTACACAAATTTGAAAGAGTAGCAGATAACCTGGAAGGTTGCGGACTTCCATGCCGATAACAATTATCTGTCAACTCAATCTGGACTGAATCTATAAGAAAATCATCCCATTGAATGAAATTTATTCTTGGAAGATTAGATTACGAAATTACTATGCTGGGATGCCATCATACTGGAAAATCACAGTACTCTGATACTGCCTTATTATGATGATTTAGGTTTGACTGTCACTATATTTGGGTGTCTAAAGTGGCAAGAAAAAAATGACTCACAATGAATTAAAAAAAAAAAGGACAGACTTGCTTCTAGTATCGACACAATGTTGACACATTAACAAGGTGGGAAAAAAAATCCCACTTGCATTGCCAATAATGATTTCAAATAAGTTGCCATCATGAATGTTTGTAGCACAGCATTTGCAGCGAACAGGTGTGATGTAAAAGTCAAGCCACTTTCTGTTGCTGACATACGGTGTGTTTTGCAAATACTCCACCACACTTGGCAAAGCATAAGAATAAATGTGCTGAGTGCTTCCAATATTTTGACAGCGAGCGTGTAGCTCCCAACTGTTAATACCGGTGGAAAGTCCAGGGGAAAGACTTTGGTTCATTTAAAATTAATTCAAAACTACTATATGATTGTTCTTTTTAAAATCATAGAAATGCAGACCTATTCTAAAGCGAGAGTTTAAGCTTCTGCTTTGGTCTTCCCCTTGCCCAGCTCCCGATCGTGTCTCTACGCAGAGGCAATCACTGTCAGTAGCTTGGGCACATTTTTCCACCTGAAACGATACATCACAATTTTCAGAACCTGTGAAGTCAAGTGGTCTTCACAAGACCATACATTAAGTTGTTCTCATTCTCTTCCCTTTAAATATGCCAGCCCTAGGGGAAAACCAAACTCTTATATTCCTTTTTTTTTTAAATCCTGAAGGACATTTGTGATATTCGAATAACTTGACATTATCAATACGAACACTATGATTTTGAGATGCTTTAGTTCTTAAAGCTTCAAGCAAATGAAGTGTACACGCTGTATTTCCATTTTCCTGTCTATATTATAGAAATAAGGTTGCACGTGAGCTCTCTTTTAGGAAGATATGGGATGTCATGGTTGACGGATGAAAATAACCGCAGGGAAATATTCTCATATGATAACCTAACATCGATATTGAAGTACGTCTTAAAGAAGACCTTCAAGTAATTATGTGGTAATAAGCAGTGTAATTATATAATTCTTTGGCCTTAGTAGTTAATTCTAACCAGTACCTTTAAGATATTTATTATTACTTACTGTATAACATCTTTTGTCATAAGAATGTAAACATTGAAGAAAAATATCATATAGTCAGGCTCTCTTAAAAACTAGGAAAATCTTGATTCTAGAGAAAGATTAGGGGCTGAGGTCACATTTGATGCTAAATCACTATAATGTAACTTATTAAACACAGGTCTTTTTTTTTCCTACCAGCCCCACCCCTTCCTGTCCTGTTCTTTCCACTGCTAAGTGCCCTGATGTTGTCATCATTAGCATAAAGCTCGCATTTGGGTCCCACTCCTCCAGGTCCTTGGGGCCAGCTGCCCTGCTTCCTGCGGCCCTTCCTGAAACTGAGGTCTGTTTTATCCTCTGTTGTCCACTGTCAGCAAAAAGTCATTTGCTGCTTTCAAGCAGAGCGCTCCCACCCTCAGCCCCCACGTCACAGGAGCGTTTTAGTCAAATATTTATGCTGCCTCTGACCTCAGTTATCTCGCCTGCTTTGGAGAGGGGAGGGTGCAGATGTTTTCCTCTGACCCCGGGATGTAAAAGCATTTTGCTCCAATCACTGGAAGGGCACAGAGGAGGCCGCCTTCAGGGCGAACAGAGCTGGTGATCTTGGACTCTGGGACTTCCAGTCTCTCTGCCGTATTTCATTCCCACAGCTGTTACTCAGCCTGGAAGAATCTGAAGAAAGGGATAGACTTGACCAAGCATTTGTGTGATGTTCATGTGGTTGTATTCATTTCTTGCGTGTATGTTTGGAGAAACAAGCAGGAAGGGAAGGGATGGAGTCTGAAGGAATCATTGCTCCTGTATCACTACCATCCAAAAAAAAGCGCAGTGATGGATGTAAATGTCATATTGAGGCGTATTCCAAAGCTTTCAAGTGTCACCAGAAGTATGACCAGGCCATCTGTGTCCATTTGTGCCGTAGTTAATATTTTTGACACTGAATATATCTTAGAAATGTTTAAAGAACAGTTGAGAGAACTTCCCTGAGAGTACCTTGTTTGTTTTGTTTTGGTGTTTGTTTTTGTTTTTGTTTAAATGGAGGTCCTGGGAACTGAACCCAGGACCTTGTGCTCTACCACTGAGCTAGACCCGCCCCCCCCCTTTGCAACATCATTTATTTGTTTATTTACTTACTTACTCACTCATTTATATTTTACTTAATCAAAATGCCTTTTGATTATCTGTGGATTAGGATTGCCAGGTTAGATTTGAATTTCAGATCAGCATTGGATATTTTTTTTAGTACAGGCGTGTTCAGTGCAATGTTTGGGACATACTAAAAAGCACTTACTATTCGTCTGAAATGTAACTGGGTGGCCTGTATTTGTGTTTGCTAAGCCCAGCAGCCCTAGCGTATGTGGCAGGACCTTCAGGTACGGAGGAAGGAGAAAGATGGGCCAAGCATTGGAAAGTCCCAGTGATGGCTTCTCGAGACGGTCTCTTAAATCATTCTAGGCAGTGACACGTTTATTTGTAAGACGGGTGTCTTTTGCTAGAAGTGTAGGGGTTATCATTAAGAGAGAAATGGGAAAAGAAAGCAATTCGCCCCACACGTGAACCCCAACGTCCGTCTCATAAACAGAGCGAGTCAGGCTTTTGGGCTTTCTTTTTCATCGTTTTCCTCTTATTAACGGTAGCAATAAAAATATCAATAAATAATAATTACAAGGTAACTGCTATTGAAAGTTTTCTGCACACTAAGCATTCTTCATTAGTTACGACTTCCATCCTTACAACCCCTGCTGGACGGTGTGTCGGGCGAAGGGCTGTGTTTATCAGTTTATTCCTCGATTTCCAGAACCCTAGATGGTACATGACAATTACAGGCAGCATTTGTTCAATGAATGAAAAAAAATGAATAAATAGGGATTATTATCTCTATTTTATAGACAGAGAAATTGAGGCTGACCGATGTTGAAACATTTCCTCCCAAACAGAATGTAACAGGGCTTAGAAGCAAAATTGCTTTGCTTCATCTACCACGCTTTATTAGCTACATTAAATTGCTTCAAAATCTTACCAATTGCTTCCAAAAATAGGGGCATTGTACCCACAGTAATATCAGTTGACATGTGTTGAATATCCATATGTGGATAAACTTGCAGACTCTAATAAAATGGAGATGGCGAACATACACCATTTGCATTTTTTCTGACTGCCTTGACAAGAATGGATTTTCAGTGATGCCCTACATAGTTAAGACTGCACCGTTCCTGACAGCCAGGTCCTGGTAATTCGACCATTTGGTTCTCATACGATAGTGCCCATCAGTGTGCCTAAACAGATCCTCAAAATCGTTAGGACGTGACTTCAGACAGTTGTCACTACTGATCTGTATGTGGAGACACTGGGTTCAGCAACTGATTTCCACCCTCGAAGAGTTTCCCAATCCGCAGAAGCCGTCATTATTTCTGGGGAGGTTGATTATTTACATAAGAAGAAACCAAAGCGTTTGTTTAATTCTGTTGTTCGAAATCTTGGCAATGGAAAAGGTCAGCATTTTACAACTATATTTTGCTGAACCCAGCACCTTAAAACCGTAGCCAAAGCTGTGATTGAAGACTCTGCCGGCTTGGTACAAACTCATCATCCTGCAAGCATTCTCTCAAGTCTCCAGCAGGATGTGTTACTACAAAATGCAAAGAGCCCCCCACAGGCAACGTGCAGCAACCGAAATGAAAGAGGGGCTGTGATTAGCATTTGTCAGCATCGCTTCTGATGTTGGATACGGAGACTCATCCTGGTACCAACGGTGTTTACGATCATGAGCCACTCTGGCCGAGTATAATGCATGGCTCTTCCTGGAGAGGAGGGAGCCCCCCCTCCCCCACGAGCTCATCTGGAACAAGCGCAGAGCATCAGTCGTCTTCGTCCCTGAGGAGTCGACGTCCAATAAATGCGAGTCGACAAATGCCGGGTCGGTGCGTCGGGGCGTGTCTGCCAGTGTGTGTGGCTCGCGCCCTCGGCCAGTCTCCTCTCGCCCGCCCTGATGCTGTCGGAAGATCCAGCCCAGCCTGAGGTTTCTCTCTTCCCGAGTCACCCAGCCCAGCCCCAGTTTTTTCCAAGCATCTCAGATTTTACAGGTGATATTGTGTATTCTCCATCTGGCCTGTGTTTGCACTTTTATGTGCTTTCATATTGTTAGAAAAGATGGGAGAATACTTTTTTTTTGTCTTTTTTCCTGCTTGTTTATACCTTAAAAATTTTTTATTTGTAATTTCGGG